CATATTGAGTATCTCGTAGTTTAAATATTATTAACAATATTTATATTTTAGTGCTTAAACTCTCGATTTTATATTTAATTAAAAATAAACAAGTAATTAATTTTTACTTGAAAATAAATTTAAGATTATTTGTTAAGTTAATTTAGTTGAATTGATATTAAAATATAAATTTTGCTTCAATCATTATTTTAAAGATAATTTTTAGTTAAAATAATAATTATACATTTATAATGAAAAATAATAATTGTACTACAAAGATTGTGACAAATATGTGCAAAGAGATTAACTATTTTTTTTACTACAAAGATTGGTGACACTAAATGTAACTCAAATAATAAATTATTAATAAATTTAATGACCTAAAAACTAGATTAACTAATTACAACAAAAAATCTAAAAATTAAAAAAATAGCAATGAATCCGATTGATATTTTTTAATTTTAGACTTTTTTAAATAACAAATATTTCTATTTTTAATTACAAAAAAAATTTAAAAAAAAAAACAAAAAATTTTTTAAAAAAGGACCTAACCGGTCCAGTTCACCATATCGGACCGAACCGGGACCGGCCGAGCATTCCACTTGTCCCGGGTTGACCCAAGACGCGCAATAAACGCGTTTGGGCGAACAAGAGGGCGCGTTCTTTGCTCGTCCCCGGTTAACCCGGGATGGGTGGACCGCTCGGTCAGTCAAAATTTTTTTAAAAAAAAAATTTATTTTTTTTATTTTCTTTCTAGTCAAATTATTTGATTTGAAAAAATTATAGGGGTAAAATGGTTCAATTTTAAAATATGTGGCTTCAAGTAGTAAATGTGGTGGCTTTGAAAATAAACACTTTTTTTAATACTTGAAGAGTTGAGATGTCTTTATTAAATTGGATATAAGTAATAATAAATTAAGAAGAAAGTAGACATTAACCAAAAATAAAAAATAAAAAAACCTTTTATAATCGAAGTGATAAGATGTCTTTATTAAATTGGATAAAAGTAATACTCAATAAATTAAGAAGAAAGTATACATTAACAAAAAAATTTATACCTGAAGTGATGAGATGTCTTTGTGAAATTGGATAAAAGTAATAGTAATATATTAAGTGAAAACTAGGCTTTTATTGTCGCGCGTTGCGCGACCAGTGTTTTTGCTACATTTTTATACATCTTTTATAATTTAAAACGTATGCGATAGTTAAATTTTGGTAACACATTCAAAGCTTAATTTCGGTAATATGTGTAACAATTCAATTTTTTATTTTGTAATTTTTGGCACATTGTGTCTCTTTCTGTAATTGAATCATTTTATAGTTATTAGATTGATGATTTTGTTGAAATTTCAGCATTGTTCGGTAAGAGCGCCTTCTACTCACTTAATTTTATTAGTCCTTGGTTACAAATTTCTTTATTTGCCAAGTCCCTTTAATGTAATCTAATCCCACCTCTTGAAATAACTTCTTCTATATTATTTGAAATAACTTTTTTAGCTACACACGAGTATTTATCATATTTACGTGCTAGTTGATTGACAATTATTTTAGATAAACAATAGTATTCTTCAGATTTACGTCCTAGTTGGTTGCCTCGTAATTTAATAGGTGAAAAACTACATCATCAAAAATACTAAACACGTATTTGAAATAAACATATTCTCTCGTCATAAATGAACTCTTATTTTGAAACGGAAAAAGTATCATTAGTGTGTGAACTTTCACATTCTACTTCTGTTTCCCGATTCTTTCTTTCAGATTCTAGAAGTTTATAAAATGATATGAACTTTTTCTTTGCGTTTTGATCAGTTTAGCACGGTAATGGATCCAATGCCTATGGAAGAAAGGTCTAAGAAGTTAAACACTGAGAAATAGAGAAATGATTAAAAGGTCATTTCGTTTTACTATTGAAGAATGCACAAAAAGTAGCTTCCCCTTGAGTTTTAGGGAATGAAAGAAACTGAATACATCTCAAAACATTATTCCTTAGTCTAATCCTTAGCTATCAAACAATAGATTAGTTATCCCACTCCAAATCTTTCATCAACTAACTTAGGACCCAATGATCACCATATACTTTCTTCTTTCTACATATATGAATTATGAAAAAAATACTATAGAATAAAGAATATGAATACAATTCCATAGTGGATTGAAGCCAAGGCATCGTTTTGCCAATTATTATTTATTAAGCTACTACTCTGTCCTGCTCTATGTACAGTTGATCAATCCATGATGGCATAATGTCATTGAACGCTCCATTACGCTTCTGCTCTGAGCTAAATAGTTGCCCATCGTTCCCAGATGGAACTTCTTTCACAAAGTAATTGACTCAAGAAACATCAGGTTCATCTATACCAAAAAGATGCTGACTTCCACAGCTTGACTATACCTAAAAGTTGACGCAGAGCAGCAAAAATGAGTGGTGGTGCAGAAGTTCATTGTCAAATCTATCCAAATTATGCTTGAGATTTTCTTGTGTACAATTAAAATAAAATTCACAAGAAAAAACTTAGCTCTTAATATAAATTAAATTGGATTAATTTTTAAAATATGGAATATGATTTTAAATGATAAGTAGAATGAAAGCAGCTTTACTGCCGGCCCTAAGGATTTGAAAGGGGGTTTAGGGCCAAAAAAAAAGAACAAATATACTATGATGCTTTCAGATGAGAAACAATGTGAATGCACTAAGAGCTGCGGTTGACTTTCATTCCTTAAAAAAAAAAGAACAATGCACATAGTATATAGAAGACATCAGAAGATCATCATGCCTTTTTGGTAAGTTGTTTGCAAATTTTTGGATGACAAGCAGCTCAGCTAAAATGGGGCCTGTTGGACAATGATCTTGTTGTACATTGTATTTTGGCTTTTTTTTATGGTTAATCTTTTGACCCATTTTCAAATTCATTTGAAATGTAAAAATTTTGTCTTCCAAATGTGAAAGAGGCACTGAAAATTGAACTAAAACACATAACAAGATTATGCCAAAACGGGCTCCAAATGAATCCCAACATAATAAATTGTAGTATGGGAAGGAAAAAATAATCTTTTCTTTTCATTTTTATTAAATGGCATCTTAATTAATGACTACAAAATAATAATAATTACTTTCTGGTAAACTCATTATTTCCAATGCGTCCTCTGCATAAGACATCCGTTCTGGAATGAACTTATTAGTATTCCTCCTGCTCATTACCATCGTCATTGTGAGAGGATCACTCTGCTTTGGCCATGCGAGCATACTAACAACAGTTGGAAGTATAGAGACAAGATCAGTGTATCTAAGACTTATAGTCACTTTACACAGAAAAGAAGCCACATCTGAAATATTATAAAACTATTCTACAGACATTTCGTTGTTTCTATTATACCCTGCACATGTGAAGAATTTCAGAAAAGTGCATAAATCAACTTACCAATTGTAATCATTAATGACGAATTCAACCAAGTATGGTGTGGAAGACTATTATAAACCTCTTTAATTTGATTTCCATACAGTTCCTTAATAAGGCGCACCTGCAAAAGAATTGGACCAGTTGACTTAATTTTTTCATACAAAAGAAGTAAAACGTGAACAAATTCAGGTATGCATACGTAGCTGTAAGTATATGCATCCGAGGTTTAAAAATGGCATCTTGCATTAGAGAAGGACATCAGTAAAGTGGTGAAAAATAAAAATTATTTTCCACAACAAAGGAAAGAGTGGGTATTTTCCTCAACGAAGTCCAAATATCAAAGGTTTAACAATCAACATTTGACGTAAATTTGTGTGTCCCAAAATTTTTTATACCGAATAAATCAAATGTATTTAACTCTACTACCACTTCATATCAAAACAAAAATCAACCAGCTCTCAATAAAAACAATCATACATGTTCCCATCGATCAACAAACTCCTGCAACAATTCTCCAACATGATCTATGAATTTCTAGAGTGCAAACATGGAAAGCCCACGTCAAACAAAAATCAAATATATAATTATATATCAAATCATTAGCAAAAACCATCCAAAAAATATTACCAGAGCATTAGAAGAAATGTATTCATTTTCTGCTTCACATATTGTCAAGAAAAAAGTCACGGTATGCTCAAGGATAGTCATCTTCTCAAGAAATGATTTGCTCTCAAGCAGCAGTGGAACACCTCGCAAGGTTCTCCTGCAATAATGCAGAATCAACAAACAGTTCATTCAATAGAAATTTAGAATTTATGATCCAAAGTAACAGAAACAATTAATGAAAAAACCAGATAAAATCATTTCATCTATGCCGCGTTCTTCAATTCCAGCAATACACCTTATAGCAATTCAGGGGAGTAACATACACGTCCGAGATTCCACCCGCATAATGAATATTTATATCTATCTACGAACGACGTCTCGTACAGAATGCCAATCCTTGCTCTCCCCAAGCAACAGATTCCTTGGTTCAAAAGATGAGATATGTATGACCAGATGAATTGACTATAAAAACAATAATTCCATATCAAAGAAACGATATTGCCCAAAGCAAACATATATTTGCTAAGTCCTAACGACCCATACATCACAGAAAGGAAATCTTAAATCACTTAGCAGGATGTCAATAAATTTAGTAATTTAGCAGGTAAGATCAATCCAAAGTCGTAGAATAGGGTCACGATGGAGAACCCAGACGAATTAAGTAAATTGTGCCTAAAGAATAAGAAAAGAACTTAACGACCCATGTTGATTATAAAAGTATACATTAATCTACTAAACTAAATTGATATCCAAGAAACTCAAAACGAAGGAGTAAACCAGACCAATTGGGACCAAAATAGCCATCAAATTTTAAATTTATAAAATCAAAATCAATTAACCGAACTAAATTGACCATTAAAACCATAAAAGACCAAAATATCAAATATGATGATAGAAGTGACAAAAAATCTCATGGATATGCACGCATATGTAGATATACCCACCAATGTCAATGCAGCTTTGAACCAAAATAAAAAATATTTTCAGGGCAAACTGACCTGTAAAACTCAAAAGATTATGGTCTACAAATCTTTATCAAATGATAATACAAGGAGTGCAAATTACCCTGATTCATGTGTACCCACAATGTAAGAATTCAGCACCACAAACTTCAAAATCCTCACTTTTAACTCCTGCATAAGACGAAGGATGAACTATCAGCTCTTTTGTAATCTCCACAATACGCAAAGAAATACATTTTCATTATTGAAAGGCAACATATCAGATGAAAGTAATGCCTACCTACTCGGACCAAATATTGCAGATGCTGTAAATTGTGAATATCAAAAAAATTAAATTCCACTTTTCTGAAAATGTCATAATAAACTCAACGGGAAAAATTCCTTTCTAAACTCAGGGGAGCGCCGAATTTGGAGGAGCTTACCAGCAGCTACAGCGATAAACTTGCCGTCGGGGCTGAATTTGGCGGTGGCGATGTGGTGTTTGAAGCTGATCTTGTACACCACGCGGCGGCGCAAGTTGATGAAGAGGCAGCGGTTGTTGTCGTCGATGGCGAGCAGAAAGATGCCATCCGGCAAATTCACATAATCTGCTTAAAAACCACCACCTGGTTGTCCCGGTGAGAAGCCCTCCATCTGCTTAAAAAGTGCGCAATCTACAGAATCTAAACCAAAAACATAAAAGGAGGATCTTTTGGAATTACAATAACGATTAACAACTGTAAAAAGTTCATAGCACATATGGAAAAAAATGATGTTGCACAAAAACAGAAAAACCCAAATAATAAAATAGTTTTTTAATCAAAAGAAACTTACAATAATCGTGGAGAAAATGAAGTAGAAAACGAACTAAGAAAACATATTAAAATAACAATAATAGCTGAATCAATCAGAAAGATACCTTAATGGACTGGAAAAGAAGTGGAAGAAGAGGTGTTGAATGAAGTTTGCTGCAACCGGTAGTCCGAGTTTATCCGGTGTTGTTAATCTAGCTTATTCATGCGTAAGAAACTTCAGCTTGAAGAAGAAGAGCCCGACTCATAGATTTCTAATCCGTATATAAATTCGGTGAATTTTTTATTTGTATTCCAAATCTAGATTCATAAATTTTGATTTGTATTCCAAATCTATATTCATAGACACGAATTTCCTAATTCTGACGACGCTGCCAAGTTCGATTACTTGAAAAATTCGGCGATTGTTTTCTTCTTGTTCAGAGGAAGTTCAATTTTAGTGAAGATGGTTGTTCGACAACTGATGCCGTTGTTCTCCTTCGGCGGCTCGACGCAATGGTCTGATGCCAAATGTGGTTTTTGTGGTAATAAGGAGGACGACGAACGGTGATGGGAGGCAGTGTAGGCAGAAAAAGCATTGTCTTAGTTTTTTTTTTTTTTTTTTTAATTTTTTATAGGAGAGAAAGATGAGGTGAACGTCGAGTTTTTTTGGGTGGCAGTGGAGGCGGAGCCTTTTGGGTTTTTCTTTATATAAATGTTTCTGGGTGACGCAGACGAGGTGGATGACGAGGGCAAATGAGGGATTTTGTTCTGATTAGAGAAGTATAGAACGATGTCGTTTTGTCGGTTGGGATTTTTCAACACAAAATCTCATGGAGAAGCCAAAAACAACGTCGTTTTTTTGGATGATTAGGGTTTTTTTTCTCAAGAGCTTACGGATTTTTTTTTTAATTAGGATATATTTATGAATTTCTTTTTTTACCTCTAATAAGTTACTGAGTATATTTTTTGTATTGCGAATGTAAAAAGGTATATTGGAAATGTAAAAAAGTGTATTGGGAATGTAAAAAACTATGCTAGGATGGATACATATTCATTAAAAATTCTGAAAAAAAATAAATAAAAAAACGAACCAAACAGTACACTGAATTTGTGAAATTTCGTTTTTGCCCTAATAAGTGACTTAATATTGGCCGTTGGATCGTACCAATCCGATGAACGAGATCAATTTGAAGGTGGTCCTGGATATTTCTTGGGCATTTAATTTCTTAATTACTGTGCCTTTATATTAAGTATAATAAGGATAGAGTTAACGAAATTAGTTATTCACTCTAACCAAATGTTATTCAACTTCGAGTGGTCAAGTCAACGAAATTCTATCGACTAAAGAAATTCGACGAAGAGTGAAGATTTTTTTTAACATTATCTCTATCATAGTTCCTAATTTTCCGAGTCTTTTTGCCAACTATTTCTTTCGTCTCAAAAAAATAATATACACTGAGTTTCGATATTTATATTAATTTTAATATAAATTTGAAAATTCGATGTGAACTAATTTTTTTTAGAGACAGAAATAATAATAAACAAACACTATGCAAGCAAACCGCAATAAAAAAAACCTCGTAACATTTTGAAAAAACCAAACGACACACGGTCACACTCACACAGTTTCTTTTTCTTACTTCTCTTTAATATTGATTTTGTTTCTGTGGTAACTTTAAAAAGAAAAAGAAAAGGGAAGGAAGAGAGCAAAAAAGGGGAGGAAAAAAGAAAAAATAGTAGTGCTTCAAAGCGGTAGTGTTTAGTAGAAGGTAGTTGATTTTGCAGACAAGAGAAGTTACTCTCCTCTCACCTCCCTTCCATCCATCCATCACCATCTCCAACCCTAAAAAGAAGTATTAAACAATTTCTCCATCACCCGAAAATTTGCTGCAGAAAAGAAAAAATTTTTGGAAAAAAGGGGTAAAGGAGGTTCTTTACTCTTTTTCTTGTTTTGCTTTTATCTTACAGCTTGAGAAAAAACTTGGAACAAGTTTTGAAGAAGGAAAAAGAAATTAGATGGGGTGGTCTGAATTCTTACCAAACGACAACGCCAATGGAGACTAGCAGAAGAAAAGAAAAAATTGAGACCCACATTGTTGATTTTGGTTCCCAATGGGGAAAGGAGAGGACGATGAGGGTTTGCCGGTGGATGAAGCTCAAGGAATTGAGCAAAATGTAGGACGTAGTAATGGGACAAGAGTTTGTAGCAGGTTAAGGAGGTGTGTGAGTTTTAGATGTGTGTTTGCTTTGCTGTTGGGAGTTGCGGTTTTCGTCAGTGTTCTCTTTTGGTTGCCGTTTTTTCACTACAGAGATCAGAAGGATCTGGATCTAGATTCTGAATTTGGAGGTAACCGACTGGTGCTCTTCCTACGATTTTTTGTGCACCCTTTTGCTCTTTTTTGAAGTTGAGCTCTTTAACAATGTGATTGCTTGTAGATCTACTTCCTGTATTTGTTGATTATTTGTCCCCGGAATCTAGTTTAGCTCTTTAACAAGTTAAGCTCTTTTTCCGTTTTCATGGGGATGGGGTTCACTGTTGCTCCGCATTTTTGTGCTTAATTGAAGCACGTTCGTTGTTTTTGATTTGCAGCGGATATTTGAGGGATGTGAGCTTTGAGGGTTTGGTTTTTTTTTTTTTTTGTTCATTATTTTTTGAAGCATCATCATTTAAGAAGAGCACCTACTTTTGATGGATAGTAATTCTTTCATTTCTTTAATTCTAATTTTTAAATATAAGCATAGTTTTCAGGGGATGATTAGCTGAATTGGGGTTTGGATAAGAGAAGCAGTTTGTCTTTTAAGGTGAATATGACACTTTTGTCTTTCTTAGTGTGTTTTGATTATGCTTTTACAATGATATTAAAGGGCATAAGTTTTTTTGTTGCTCTGAGTTACGATGATTCGGGGTTTTTATGACCATTTTTGTCTCTGTTTCAGTTTTGCTTTTAGTCTAAAAATGTTTAGAGCTTTATCGAAACAGAAAAGTTATTCTTGTCTGGTAGAGTATTAATGAGGAATTTGGATTATCAAATTAAGAAGTGAGATGTAAAGATAATATTGTTTGAGGTGGAATACGGATCCATACTTACTCCTAGATTTGATATTCATCTCTAACCTTGAACGTGGGAGGGTGTGATGTGTTGAGTTTATTTATTGATTACCGTGTTTCTATTTGACTGTCATTACTTCAGTTGTATCCTCCAGCAATTTGATTTCCTCATGAATTCTCATTTGTAAGTTGAGGGGTATTCTTTTTTATCTTCCGGGAAACTTCAGATGCTAGTTTGCTGGCAGTGGAAGGATTGTTTGTATTGGTTTCCATTGATATAGCATCACTAACGATGAATGTGGCTGTGCCATCATTTGGATGCGAAAAAGAGAGGTGAAGAAAGTGAATTACGCACAGAGTTGGTTCGGAGAGGAAGAAATGAAAACTGTATAAATTTCATATGAGTGGAGAGAGTAGAAGGGTTTAGGGATCTGACAGAAATTGGAATATGAAGTGTTCACCTTAATGTGGGAAGCTAAGCAGTGGCTCAAATGGAGTTGAGCTGCTGAAATTGTGGATTGACTATTGGGTTATCTGTGGTTTGTACCATCATCGTATGTATAGTCTATAGAAGTAATTTGGTTTTATCCTTTGGGTTTAGCCACTTGTGTTTAACGGTAGCTCAGTTTACTTGTTTTGCAGCTTATGTGATAGTATAAACTTGATTAATAGCTCTTTAGTGTGCTGCCACTAGGCTATTCCTCTTTCGACTAACTCTGAGTTGCTGTAATTAGATGCTACCTTACTGGCTTCATCTACTTCTCTTTGTTCTACTTGTTATTTCTCGGTGTTTCAGTCATGATTGTTTTATCCCCTGATTTCATTCATCTCTGATTTGTTTGTTTTGTTCTTCTGCTACATGTTTATCAGGTCATGCTGTTGTAGCAAGCTTCATGGTTGACAAACCTGCTTCTTATTTGGAAGATTACATCCCTCAACTTCAAGATGATATTTTTGGGGAAATAAGCTTTCCTACCACTAAAGTATATTCAGCATCTGTTGGCCATTATATTCTTATTCCGTTTGTTTTTTATCCCTTTTTTACACTTGCCAGTTCGGTCATTGACTTCTTTCTTGTTTGATTTTATCCTCTGTTTCTGATAGGTGGAAGTGTTAAAGTTAGAATCTTCTGATGGGTCAAATACAACGAAAGTGATCTTTGCTGTTGATTCCGACTCAACGAGTCAAAGTTTAATCAAGAGTTCCTTTGTGTCTCTTTTGATACATCAATCTCCTTTTCGATTGACTGCATCCTTGTTTGGGGATCCATATTCTTTTGAGGTGCTAAAATTTTTAGGAGGGATCATTGTTAGTCCTCAACAGAGTGCATTCCTCATGCAAAAGGTGCAAATCATGTTCAATTTTACATTGAACTTCTCTATTGAACAACTTCAGAGTAATTTCGATGAACTGAGGAGGCAGCTGGTATCAGGATTGCATCTTGCTTCATATGAGGTTTGTCAATAAGTTTCTAATAATCAGGACAATACCTCTTTTTGTGCACTCAAATATTATTGCTTGTGTGTATCTGTGTGTCTATGTGTATATATATGTTGTTTTCTTCTGCAACTCAATTATACAATCTTAGTATGAGAGCTCAAAAGTTTATTTGTGACAATAGTTACCACATTAAAGGGTATCAATTCAAGAGGACGTTAGACTTGAACTAGTGAGTGAACGACATTGGATATGAGACATTTGCCATGTTTGGCAATCTAGGCATTGCCTTTTTATTTCACTTATCACTTTCCAAGTGTAATTAATAATTTTTAAATTTTTTTTCCCCTCCCCCCTCTTTTAATAGGTTATATCAATGATGATCAAGTCTCTTCCATTTTATCTTTTCTTTTTTTGAAATAAAAAATGTAACAAATACAAAGAAAGGGTATTATCTGGTGAAACCTTGTAAGTTAATAGTTCTTTGTAGTTGCAATTAGAGCAATTTGAGAAGTTGAAATGACTACCAATGTGTTTTTTCTCTACTTGTAGAGCACCTCTTGACTGTCCTTTGCTAGACCATCACTCGAAAGATTGTAGGAAGAAGTGTCAGCACATGTAGTTGAGGAATTCCTAATTCTTATATATAGTAATATGCTATCAGCAATTACAAAGTCATTATTTGCATGTTTGGAGATGTAGGCATTGTCTTTTTATTTCACTTTTCAAGTGTAGTTAATATTTTTTTTTTGCTTTCTTTTATAAATTTTCCTCCCCCCTCTTTTAATAGTTTATATCAATGATGATCAAGTCTCTTCGATTTTATTTTATTTATTCATTTTTTTTTAAATAAAAAAGGTAACAAATACAAAGAAAGGGTATATAATCTGGTGAAATCTCGGAAGTTATTAGTTCTTTGTAGTTGCAATTAAGAGCAATTTGAGAGGTTGAAATGACTACCAATGGGTTTGGCCTCTTAATTGTAGAGCACCTCTTGACTGTCCTTTGCTAAAATGGGCAACCATCTCTCCAAAGATTATAGGAAGAAGTGTCAACACATGCAGTTGAGGAAATCTTAATTCTTATATATAGTAATATGCTATCAGCAATTTGGAAGTCATTGCTTGCAACTATTACTACATGCAACGTGGAGAGATGCAAAAATTTTAGTGCAAATTCATTAATATTACTTGTCATAGTTCTTCGTATGAAGCCAAATGCTGTTGGCATCATGAATGAAGTTTTTTTGTATCATGCATTGTCATTGATTTCAACTTATGTGATTTTGGTATTGTATGATGGATGCAACCTTCATGATGCTCTTTTGTTGCTCTTTATTATGCACACACCTTCATGGTCCAAAAACAACTGAAGAGAATCTTGAAGGATGATGCATGATCTCATCTCCTCTATTTAATATGTTTTATGTTTATTTTGCAATTTTAAAATTATTTTTATGAGAGTTTTTGGAATAGAAGCTACTGTGGATCTTGGAAACTAAGATCGTATTTTTCTAGCCTCACCTACGTAGATGTTGGATAATATGTGATATTATGAATTAGTTATTCTACCCTCACATTTCTCTTTTCTTGATGTCTTTTTCTTGTGATGGATTTTAGGAACATTTTAATTGTTATAAATTTGTAAATGTTATTGAAGTACTTTAGATGAATACTGGATCGAACTGTTACGGAAGTTGTATATCAACCTGGCCTCATGATGCTTTCAAGTTGCTTTTCATCTCATACATGCTTGCTGTTGATGTTTATTAAGACTTCTTTTTTTTCTTTTACCTTTCTGTAATGCAGAATTTGTATGTAAGTTTGGGTAATTCAAAAGGATCAACTGTGGCTCCCCCAACCATTGTCCAGTGCAAAGTTCTTCTGGCATTTGGAATTAATCCCTCAATGTCACGAATCAAGCAATTGACTCAAAGAATCACTGGTTCTCATGCAGAAAATCTTGGCCTGAATAACACTGTGTTTGGAAAGGTGAAACAAGTTCGTCTTTCATCCTCATTGCCTCATTCTCCCGGTGGCACGGGTTCACCTTCTCCAGCCCCTTTACCTCAATCTCACCACCATCATCACCATCACCATCACCACCGACATCATCAACCTGATATCAGTCATTCTCCTGCCCTGTCACCTGCACCACAAAGTGCTAAAAGTGGAGGAGCTTTGGCTGGTAAAGGTTCACCTCTCTCTGCACCAATGTCTGCCCCTAATCCTGCTCAACATAAGGCAAGGCCTCCTGGTTGCCATCTTGGTTATAAACATATGTACCCAAGAAATTGGAACCGACACGCTCCCATTTCACCACCAATTTTGGCACCACTTTCTTCTTCCTCACCAAAGCAGTCAATATATCCTCCCCGGACTACTGTGCCTCAAGTTCCAGCATCAAGCCCTATTCCACATGTTGTATTTGCTCATGTTAGACCTCCATCAGAGAATCGGTTTAATGCTGAGCCTCCTGACTTAACAAATTCAATCGCGCCTTCGCCATCCTCATGTAAGTACACCTTTAATATCTTTTTCGTCAAAGCCAACTGCTAATTTGTATCTATGACAAAGAAATGTCTTAATATGACATCAGTGAGTTTTCTGAAAACCAGTTAGTTCTTTTCTCCATGTTCTTGGATTTACTGAAAATTTACTTGCATTCTGGTTTTTGGTTTCCTTCTCGTATTTCACCCACACTATTGTCATCGTCCTGTCCTTTTCCTTGAGTTTGTTGTTTTAGTTTTCTCTTTCAACTTTCAGTATATGATGCATTTACATTCTTCTTATCCTACTTTTTTGCAGCTTCCGCTACCATCATGTTCTGCAATTTGTGGGCTCTCCCCATGTTTCTACTTCTCATGTTGCATGTGTAAAGAGCAATTGAGATGTTATTACGAACCAAACTAAATTCCTCCAATGCTGGAAGTTTTGCAACACAGCTGCTGTACTGTACTCCTTGAACTCAGAAGCTTGTAGACGCAACACGATTCAGAAGCTGGTGGTGAGAGCAATACCCAAAAAATGGGCGTGCCTCAAAACCCAAGTGGACATATGTTTGTTTCTGTGCAATGTAAATAGTTGAATCTAAAGTTGAGCAGTAGGATGCATTTTCAGGTCAAAGTCACAGGGGTGACAGGCTCATGAGAATGTGCATCAACGCTGTCTCGTGTATTATTATTGTTATTGTTATTATTATTATTATTATTAGTATATTATTATTATCTCCCTACATAAATTGTACTAAATGCAGTATCCACAAGTGTATAACAATGCCTTTTTGCTCCTCATAACTCTTCCAAAATCAATGGGCTACCAGACCCACACCCCAACCACCCCCCCTCGGTTTTTTTTTATATTTTTTTTAAAGGATTTGCCTATTATATTTGTACCTTTGAAAGTGATCTTTGATGCCTTTGACATTGTATGGCAGAGGGGATCACGTTGGTAGTGCAAATTTTCGGAAGAAGAGTAGCAAAATATAGCACGAGCTTGATATGGAAAAAGATCGTCTGAGATGTGTGACATTGATTAAAAATCTTGACACGTCACTGGTCAAACAAGGTTTATTTACCATTTGGTTAGGGTGTTAGTAATTAATTATATATATGAAGAGATAAGAAGATATTTTGTTTAATTATTTGTCAAATAGAGTTTACTTGCCAATGTCACAAGGAGTGTCATATAAAATGTCGACATTTTGATTTTCTCCTAAATGAAATTTAGTACGTTCTTTAATTGAAAATAAAATTTTAAAATTATATTTTCATATTTATTGTGTTATTTTAATTATTATAAAATATTTTTTAAGTTTCATTTTTAATTAAAAAAACATTTTACATGAAATTTAAGAGCCATCAAAATACATCAGTACTGAAGAAGTAGTTCATAGTAGTACAAACGGGTAAATTAATATAGTATTTAACAATCATTTCACCCAATTCAATAACTTTCCATTCATTATTTTTGGGTTTTAGATTTTTTTTTTCCCGTCACAAACATTACGGAAGACTAAATAAAATAGTCACATTGTAGTTGGCATGTTCAAGTATGGAGTTAATTCAAATTGAAAGTTGAAACCGCGAAATGGGTGTTGCACATACCAAATGCAACTGATAATTTAAAAATTGTATCCTTGTGAGTTATCAAAATTGTGATATGTTAATTTCTGTGGATTTCTAAATGATTTCTCTTCGGTCTTTGAAAATTTAGTGAAAAGTGATATATAAGTAATGAATTAATTTTATATGATGCGCACGGCACGCCACATCAAACACAGAAATGTGCCATGAAATAAATTCATGGAATAATTTTAAAAAATATACATAAAAGAAATACTAATAGAATAAATTACTACATTCTATTATTACTTTGGTTCACTATTTTTTTTTTTTCTTTCTTTCTCCCTTTTGGTTTTCATATTGAATGGCGTCTACTGTCCGGGCATCACTTTGATAGATAGGACGGTTACGTAACAAAAAGTTTCTTTTAAATAAATTTGTTTTACAAAAGGATGTTGAAAACATTATTTCCAAACAGATTTTCAAACCCAAACAATTTTATCAGTTCTTCATTTTGAGTTAAAAAAAGTTCAGAAAACTCGTTATGAGACTTTCTCACTAGTTTTTTGAATATCCCAACTTAGGTTAATGTGCACGAGTTTTTAGTTACGGCTCAAGCAAGCTCACGAGCCCCATCCGTCAGGAGTTCTTTCCACCCGTGATTAAAGCTCATAATTATTATTCAGTTTATGTTTTTATTTCTAATTCAAATTATACTAAAAGTAAAATATCAAATTAAACAATAATTTTGGGATAAAGAAGAGTTCAATTCATTACTGTTAATTTGCTGCATTACTTCCTTTTTTTCCCCTTCTTTTTGGGTTAATGCTATAATATTTGCAGCATTACTTCCATCACACTAAAAGACACACACACACACACCCCATTTGGCTGCAATATGACACAGCCTTCAGTCCCGGTCACCGCTACTGGCCGAAAAAAAATATCTATTCTCACCCCTTTTTTTCTCTGCCAAATTCATGCTCAAATGTATAATTCAATTCCATATATATAAAATATCTACTATGGAATGAATGTGACACGCGGAACACAAACAACCTACTGTCATTTTCCCTACTCCTTTTTTCCTTTTTTTTGCTTTTTTTGGCAAAGGTTTAATTGATAGCCATCATCTTTTCCATACTCTCTACATATATTTCGTATCCCTTTTTAAGTTTATCATCATCATCATTCGGTGTGCGTTTCACTCGGGAAGTTCTCCAGAACTGGGTTTCAATTTACTGCTCAAAAGGGTATGTTGAATTTAAACCCACAATTTATTCTGATCTGGGTTTTTTGTTTGATTGCTTTAGATTGATTGCGTTACTCAATGCCATTGTTACTTCGGTTCGTTACTGTCCGGTGTTTTTTTTTTTTTTTTAATTGGAAATGAACTTTCTTTTCTTTCGTTATGCTAAAAATCCAGGCTTTTTGTTTTGGCTTTTGTTTCTGTTTTGATGCCGTGGAGATGTCATTTGTACTTCACAGTCCGTGTACGTGTAGAGGGGTCTCTTTATTGTATTTTGTGGATTTACTCTGGACTTTTGTTATGAGAACTGTGGAATTTGATTCTGTTGTTATTAGTGTGGTGTTGTGTGTACTGTATATGATGGCACAATTACGTCTTAATGATCGGTTTGAATTGTAGAACTTATAATTTTTTTTTTCCCTTTTTTTCTTTTTGTGTGTTCTCTTGATTCTTCAAGAAAGACTTTGATTTTACTGAGAGATGGTCAACTTGAATCTGAGTGTGCTTTCCGGGACCCATAATCTGAAGTCGGTTACTCTCAGCTTCAGAATACCTTATTTTACTCAGTGGGGACAGCAGATTCTGGTTTGTGGTTCTGAGCCAATTCTTGGTTCATGGAATGTGAAGAGAGGTCTACTATTGAGTCCTTCTCACCAAAATGATGAGCTTATCTGGTGTGGTAGCATTCCTGTTCCTTCCGAGTTTGCATGTGAGTACCACTATTATGTAGTGGATGATGATAGAAACGTCTTGAGGTCGGAAATTGGGGACAAGAGGAAGCTATCATTGCCTGATGGCATTCAAAGTGGGCAAGAGGTCGAACTTCATGATCTCTGGAAGGTGGGTGCTTGCGACCCTTGCATTTATTTTGGTGCTAACTGATATTTATCTGCTTTTCTGTTACTTTTCTTGGCTTTATGAGAAGTAGAAAAGCATTCTTCATATTGATTTCCATTTAATGACATATGCTCTGCACATGGTAGTTATTTCTCTCGTAAGTCAGCACTACTTATTTGAACAAAATGCAGGATTGTTTGAATGCTGAAGAAACAATCGTGGCCAAAATCACAAATAGCAGGATTTTTTGGTGTTTCACAAAATCTATGGTTTATAGTTCTGTGGAAATGATTCATCTGAATATCATATCTTTGCGACTCTAATGATCTAAGAAGGTAGTTAGAACATAAATTAGTTATGCAGTTTGATTTCTTTATAAAATGACTGGAGCAAGAAATTATGTCATAAAATTAAGAGGTATTTCTATATATACAAAGTTGATGAGTGGATAGGTTATGCAATCCTGTTTTGAGTAAAAGGCTGAAGGGGGATATTTCATTCATTCCTGCCATCCTAGTTTTGTTGTAGAGCTCTGGTTTGTTCAAGATGGCCATCTTCTTTTGAAAATCTATGAATGTCAAGTCAATTTACTTTTGTTTCATAAAATGAGATTAAGCAAAGATAAAAATCATGACCAAAACTGGTTGATTTAGAGTTCTAAGCGTTGTCAATTCAATGCGATTTAGTTGACTTCGACTCAAGTTCGTCGATGTTGCTGTTTAAGATGTGCATCATTTCAGACATGATTTTCTTGGTTGGAATAAACCTTGGTTCTTGTTCATCTTGTCAGTTGTATGGATTTACTTTATGGGCTCTGTATCAAGTTAGCCACACCATCTTGAATAACTTTATTACTTCTGTCAGATTGTTGAATGTTGTGCGATCATTAGCCAAAAGTTCCTGAATAAGTTAATAGAAGCTTAGTTTCAGTCTTTGAACTTGAATTGGTTTTCATTTGAGTTCTACGTTTTTCTCTTCTCATGGTTTCTATTCTTCTTCTTCTTCTTCTCCTTTTGTGTATTTTTGCTCCTCACAATTCTAAAGTAGAAGATTGATTTGTTTTCGTTTTAAAGTCTAGACATTGTGCTCTTAATGCAGACAGGATCTGATAGTCTACCTTTCAGAAGCGCATTTAAAAATGTAATATTTCGTCGAAGCTGGAGTTCAGATGACAAGAAACCTGTAGGAGTGACTGACAGTGACATAGTTAAAAAAGGTAACTATTTCAATTTCAATACAGCCCTGATTTTGCATGTCATTCCTGACATTCCTGGACCTTAATACCTTTTGTTTATAGCTCTTTCACCAGGTTCAGTTATTGTACAATTCAAAGTATGCTGCCCCAATGTGCAAGGAGCATCAGTATGTAATCTCGTCAACTTCCTACAATTAGACATGCTATGAAATTGTTCATTCCCAAATTATTTCTAGCCCCGATATGTATGTAACAGAATTCGTGCAATCATGGTGAACACTTTTTGTAGATTCATGTAATTGGTAGTTCTTTGAAACTGGGACAATGGAAGGCTCAGGGTGGACTTAAGCTTAGCTACACTGGAGAATCAGTTTGGCAAGGGAGTTGTGTGATGCAAAAAAAGGACTTTCCTCTCACATATCCTTTAGTTGCATTGATTTGTAATTATGGAATTAGTGGAAGTTGATTGCTCTCTTCTTTTCTCTCTTCTATCTCTAAATCCTTAACAACTCTCTACATATCGATATGCAAAATGTGACCAGGCTGGTAATTTATCAGTAGAATCTGGTCCAAATAGGGAAGCTACCGTTAATATCTCCCGTGGTCAATCAACGTACATTGTTCGTGCTGATGGCTTGATGCGAGTAAGTTATTGTATAAACATGTCCATCTACAGTTGCATCATTGATGAAATTTCCTAAGGCATTTCGTGCTTTCAGGAAACACCTTGGCGTGGAGCTGGCGTCGCGATTCCAATGTTTTCTGTTAGGTCAGAGGAAGATATGGGGGTAGGAGAGTTCTTAGATTTGAAGCTACTTGTAGATTGGGCAGTTCATTCTGGATTCCACTTGGTTCAACTTTTGCCAATTAATGACACATCAGTTCACCAGATGTGGTGGGATTCGTATCCATACAGGTCTGGTTGTTGCACCTTTTCTGAGTGTGAAAAGTTGAAATATTCTGATTATCTTCAGAATTTGATCAGTTGAACCAAGTATCAAATCTAGTAGATTCATATTCTGAACGTCCCAAAAATTAAGGAACGTTTTTCTATGATGAATCTGACTTTACATTGGAAAGGGTTCACCTTCTATTTCTTTCATTGTAACTATGCAAAGAAATACTCAGTTTTGGATCTATTTACTGGTGACCTCATCTTAATGTTTTTATGGTTATATGCAGCTCCCTCTCAGTGTTTGCATTGCATCCATTGTACCTACGGGTGCAAGCACTTTCTGACAACATTCCAGAGGATATCAAGGTGTTAATTTTTGTTTTATTTTATTTTTAAAGTTTTCTTTGCACATTAAATCATAATGTGCACTTAATACTGACTAGCTATTTATATGCTACAGTATTTGTCTTCTTCTAAAGAATGCTTAGGATATCTTCTATTCAAGATACCTTGATTTTGGTCTCATTTTCAATTTGCAGAAAGAAATAGAGCAAGCCAGAATGAAACTGGACAGGAAGGTATCTGTCCATCCCTTTTCTCGTTCTTTGGATTGAACATCTTGGTGTTCTGGTTTGTTCCAACATAACTGATCAATCTCTTGTGCTCAGCGCATTATCATTTGCTTTAGCCATTAGGCAAAATCAACTCTAATATACTTCTTAAGTTGTGGGCAATATGGAAGCAGGTGAATGGCATTTGAGAGAACCCACATATGTTTATTTGATTAGTAATTAGAGAAACTTTTCCGGGGAACATTATTTATCTGTATAATAATGAAAAAATGTGATTTAGCAAAGAATGATGGTGACATAAATTCATAAAACTACAGTGTGGGATAAAGGCTAAGTTGCATTCTACTCGCAAACTTATTTATCCTTTACTAATTTAAACTAGTCCAACAGATCATGTATTGCAGAAAATGTTGGGAAAGTAAGTGATATATAGATGCAATGGATGTTACACGTTCCAATACTTGAAGATCTTGTTCAAAATTGCTTTGTATTGTTATAATGTGTTGTACAGTTGAGATTGTTTTTGACCATTTTTGTTATTAAGTAACTTGTTTCCTTCTGCGAGTTAATGAGATGACCTTGGTAATGGATATAATAATCATATATGGTCGACTAACCCTTCTCCAAGTTGGTGTCAGGAGATTGATTCATATTTGACTTTTTTTTTGCTATTTCTGATTGTTCATTGGAAGCTCTGTTTAGTATTTGTTTCAATGCCTGTAAATTTTTTTTTAGAGATCGTTGCGATGTCTATTGTAAAGTTCTGCATAGCCATCATGGATAACCTTAGTGTGTTGTGATTGTAATGTTGTTTTCCCTTATCATTGTATTCTTTCGTCATGCCTGTGGAATTTGATTAGGTGTAATAACTTCTCTTAGTCTGCCCTCCTTTCCTGCCAAGGAATGTGATAGACTGTTACTGTTATAAGGTATGGGATGCAGAAAGATTCTTGGCCTTGCGAATGCAGTTTCTTGTCTAATTCTGTAATATACGGTGAAAGCATTTTAGTCGTAGTACTAGGAGAATATCAAAGTTCTTCTGGATTTAATATTTGTCCCATATTGCATGTAGCCATCTCTTGTAAGAAAAAGACCTCCAATGTTTAAGTATGTTAACAACAATATAATACATATATACATATATTCTGGTAGTGAATTTGATTGCCAACTGCAATATGCAAAGATTGTTTGGATGTTTAAAGGATGAAATTCTATTCTTGGCACTAATACTTCCAAGAGTCACATTATAGATCTACAACATTCAAAAATCCATGTTGATAGGGATTTGCTGCTTGAAAACTTGGAAATAATTCACAAAGCCTTTGATCAGCTCTATTCCAGAAAAAATTTTGGTTTAGTCTGACGCGTCACTGTCAATCACTAATAATCTTGGTCTCACATGTAGGGTCAAATTTTTGTTGCGCTTGTTAATGCTAGTAACAAGAACGTGAAGATTATTTACTACATAGACTTGAATGTATCTTCATACTTTCCTTTTCCTATTCCAGGATGTGGATTATGAGGCTACCATGGGTACGAAGCTCTCAATAGCCAAGAAAGTCTTTCGTCTGGAAAAGGATACGATTCTGAACTCGTCTTCTTTTCAGAAATTTTTCGCTGAGAATAAGGTGAGACTAATGTGATTAAATGTGTTTTTCAGGCTTTCTTCTTTGAGAGATACAATGAAATGGCCTTGGGAACTGTGGCACATAGATAAAACAATATCATCACTTGTCACCACTGTTATAGATTGATTTGGAGTTATATCTGCCACATAAGTCTCTAAACCATTTTATTGAGCATCATTACTCAATACTTGTGATTTTGTAGTTTCTTTACAAACTTGCACTACTGGGAATGGGATCACTCCTGCCATCTGCAGCTGAAAATTCTGCAACCTAATTTAAATTTCTTTTTAATTGGGACCAGGATTGGCTAAAACCCTATGCAGCCTTCTCTTTCCTGAGGGACTTCTTTGAGACATCAGAGCGCAGTCAGTGGGGAAGCTATGCTATCTTTTCAGAGTCCAAGGTGCTTTAAATTTTATTTATTTATTTGTTTATTTTATATTTTTGGTTTTTTCTTCGTTTTTTTGTAGTCCACACATGGAGTACTTGTGATCATTTATGGCTCCCTGTTTGCCTTTCACTGCTCAGCTTGAAAAGCTTGTTGCAGAGGACAGCTTGCAGTATGATGTAATATGCTTCCACTACTATATCCAGTTCCATTTGCACATGCAAGTGAGTGAGCTTAATGTGCTGCTTAATGTTAGATGTTGAGCTTTACAAAAAACTACTAGAACATGACACCATGTACTGTGATCATTCAGCTTTCAGAAGCTGCAGAATACGCTAGAAAGAATGGAGTAATCTTGAAAGGAGACCTCCCCATTGGTGTTGATAGAAACAGTGTGGATACTTGGGTCTATCCAGATTTATTCCGCATGAACACTTCTACTGGCGCACCCCCAGACTATTTTGATAAGAATGGTCAGAATTGGGGATTTCCCACTTATAATTGGGAAGAAATGTCAAAAGACAACTATGCTTGGTGGCGTGCTCGTCTGACACAGGTTCACTTGTACCTTTATTTGGGCATTTGTTATACTTCAGATAACTTTTTCATGTTCGGACACTGTTGATTTCCTGAAAAGTTTCACACACTTTTAACTTGCAGATGGCAAAGTACTTCACTGCTTACAGGATTGATCACATTCTGGGTTTCTTTAGAATTTGGGAGCTTCCAGATCATGCAGTAACTGGTCTCTGCGGAAAATTTCGACCTTCAATACCGTTGAGTCAGGTATTGATGGAGTTCCTGGTAGATAGTGAAGATTAGGTTAATAATCGCATGTGGAAGATGCTGTCCTTTCATCTTCTACTTATCTTTTCCCCTTTCATATAACCCTCTCAATGTATTTCTAGGAAGAACTTGAAATCGAAGGAATATGGGACTTCGATCGCTTGATCTGTCCTCGTATCAAGCGGGCACTATTGGAGGTATTCTGTCTAAACATCTTTGTATGTGTAACTGGATTACATGGCTTTTTATGATAACATGTGAGTGAAATTTTTCTTTGCACTCTGCAGGAGAAATTTGGTGCTTCCTGGACCACTGTAGCTTCTATCTTTCTGAATGAATCCCAGAAAGACATTTATGGGGTGAAAATCCCGTCTAAGGAGCCTTACCTTTTATTTTTATTTTATTTCATTTTTTCTCTTTTTCTTTTCTTCTGTTTTAGTTTGTCCTTGGTTAAAGCATTTTATTTACACCTACTTTGAAGTAGGCTGCTCCGCGGCTACTTTAAATGGATAGTGAGCCAATACAATTTCATATATAATAACACTAGTTCAAACATGTAAATCTTCTTGTTTGTGGTCAATCATACGGTGAAATTAAGGCGACGGTTGTGCTCTGCAGAATGTTGGTATCGCCAGATACTGCGGTCCATAAATACGTGGTCAATGAATAACATGCTGTAGGGTGACTGTGCTCAAGGTTAAGTTTAGGACGTAAAACAGTTAAAAGTTTATGATTTAAGGGTCTAAATATTCTACGGCACAATGATGTTTAGATGTGTGAAGAGGGCTAGTACCTTTGGTTTTGGATGTAGTTAGCCTTGTTTCTCGATTTTATTCTTTCAAAATGTTCAATAGCCTCTCTGGAGTTGAGAAAATGATCTGATGCACACATTCTAAATTTAGTTTGCATTTGATTTTTGTAGTTCAAGGAAGATTGCAATACTGAGAAAAAGATTCTCGCAAAGTTAAAGTCATGCTTGGAGAAGTCCATGTTGTTTGAGACTGAAGAAAAACTTCGACGCCAGCTCTTTGATCTTCTCAAGGCAAGCATTTGTTTCACGAATATCTAACATATAATTTGATATCCAGTTCTCTTTAGGTTGTATGTATCAATACAAATTTATCTTAATCTTGTTCCTTTTTTACTTAACACTTTGATTCCATCAACTCTATCTGGTAGGACATAGTGCTTATTAGAGATCCAGAGGATTCAAGAAAATACTATCCCCGTTTTAATATGGAGGATACTTCGTGCTTCAAGGAATTAGACCAGCGAAGGTATTTAACCATTTTTTTCCCCCCGAATACTCCCTCTTTTTTCTCTGTTTTTACTATTTATGAAATTCCTATTAGTGAATCGGTTCTTAAGCTATCATATATTGGAAAGTGCTCCAATATCATTGTCCTGGTGCATATCATGTTCTAAGTGCAATATCTTTGTTGTAATTTTTTTTTTTTTTTTGGGTCGTGCAGCCAGAATGTTCTTAAAAGGCTATATTATGATTACTACTTCCATCGGCAAGAAAGTCTATGGCGTCAAAATGCAATGAAGACGCTGCCAGTTCTTTTGAACTCCTCAGACATGCTTGCTTGTGGGGAAGATCTTGGCCTCATACCCTCTTGTGTCCATCCGGTATGATTGTTTAACATGATTTATGTACCAAACGATTTTGATGGAAAAACCGTTGACTAACTCTGAGGTACTGAATGGTACTGATGTAGGTGATGCAAGAACTGGGATTAATAGGACTGCGTATTCAGCGCATGCCTAATGAAGCAGATCTCGAATTTGGAATTCCTTCACAGTATCCGTATATGACAGTAAGTTCGTTTAGTTGCCCGTATTCCTCTATGCACATCTTGTCTCTAAATTTTAGGATCTCCGTACCACTTTGGTCATCGTAATCCACAATTCTAGTCTGCTTTATATTAGAAAAGTCATTCTCTGTTAGCAGATGAATTGTAAGTATATTCCAGTTTCTGATCATTATTGATGTACTGTGAACAATATACTGTTCTTAGTAAAATTATCCTTTTCCATGAGGGAGATTCCCTCCCATTCATCCATGGAAATTCTCATATTCTTCAATCTTCTGTGACAGTGGTCTGCAAGATGGTCTTAAGTCCAAAGATCATCATAGGAGTCCAGTGAGATCTACCTGCCTAATTTCTAGTATGAGTCGGTGATACTCAGATAACTAAAGAAGGAAAGAAAGAAGAATATAAACCTCCACTAACAATTGATTTATCTTGACCACTAGATTTGGAAAAGAATTCTTATGCTCAACTCCAAGAGTTAAAGTTCCTATAAAAAAAACATGGAAACATTTTTTAAACACTCCAACATCCTCATTGGTGTGTTGAGGCCATTTCTTTGATGTTGACTTATCATTTTTACATTTTTACACTTGTTCATCACATCCCCTCTGTGGCACGAAGCTCTTATTCATTACATTTTCATTTTCCAAGCTCTTGAATCTATTATGACAAACTTCTTAACAATCCTTATCCTGGGATATTAGATGCATTTACAAATACAAGCTATCAGTTTAAAAATAAGAGCTTCAAGAGTGGTGGGCACTGCTTTGATGATTACAACATTTTGTCTATACTCAAAATGCATTTTTCTACCTTAAAAATGATCTCCGATCACATAGGAAAAAAACCTTATACAGCATTGTAGTGTTCTGGTTCTGATTCGTCTGGATTGCGTATTGACATATACACGTGCTTCTCGTTTTCTTCTATGAAAGGCCAACAGTTCTTTATTCCTCATTTGTGCTCTCTTACTTATCATACATGCCTGATGCTCAAACTGTGTCAATCATGTGTTTAGAGTAAATATTATATTTTTTCTTCATTATATATAAAGAGAATAAATATCATGTTAGTTGTCTTTTTCTCTTAATGTCCTCACGGCAGGTGTGTGCTCCATCATGCCACGACTGCTCGACTCTTCGTGCTTGGTGGGAAGAAGATGAAGACAGAAGACGTCGATTTTTTAAGACGTTTTTGGGTTCCAATGGTTTGCCCCCAGATCAGTGCACTCCTGAAATTGCATATTTCATTTTACGCCAGCACATTGAATCTCCTTCAATGTGGTCTATATTTCCCCTCCAGGTTTGCCTTCGAGCTCTGTCTAGGACTTGATGAAAGTCTAAGATACATTCCTTCATATGCAATAGCTTTTCCTTAGCATATAAGATGATTATTGATTTTGGATTTTTGTTTAGAAAGAACTAAATGGTGCAGAGCCCATCATCTTATTTATCTTTAACTAGTTAAACATTTCCAGTGATGGGAAAAGCCAAAGGACCAGTAATACAATTGTTGTTTGTATTTAAGCAAAATGATACTTGCCTTGTTGATGAAGTTTGACAGTGCATGTCTTCACAGCGTAAACTACGCCCCTAGATGAGGAATTCTTTACAGGCAAGAAGAATCCGAGCTTAATACTCCCAGTTAATCTTCTTTCTTCATGTGCCTTTAATGGTGTTGTATGGATGTATTTCACATCGAAACTAGGTTGAAAACTACTTATCCAATCTATCTGCTTACATTAGTGAAGTACAAAATCTGATTAAGCTTCCTTTCCCTGCATCCAATTCTTTATGATTTCCGTTAAGCAAACTGCAGTAGATTCAGTGAAGTTGTTTAGAACATATGTGATTCTTATTGTTGCTTAATGAGCATTGCCTATTTCTTGTCGAACTTTGTGAGATCTCTCGATTTTCTTTCTCAAAACCTTTCGTACCTGTTCTTGTTTCTACAGAGTCATTTTGGGAAAAGTTTACCTAGTGGCACAATCACAATGTCACAATGGGACATTTCCAGTACACTGAACAAGTCTTTTGGTAAAGTTTTGTGGTGGTTAATGTTTTGAAGTTTAACCAAGGATTATTTTGCAGGATTTGTTGGCATTAAAAGAAGAATACTCTACTCGGCCTGCCGCAGAAGAAACAATCAATGATCCAACTAATCCAAAACATTACTGGCGCTACCGTAAGTACATTTTAATCGTCACATTTCGACTGCCTCTCCTCGATTCTTTGTTTAAGGAGTTATTGTAGATGGCATGCAGTTAAAGTGGTAGGCTTCTTGTATCTTTTGCTCAAAGGTAGGCATTGGTTAACAATGTGTTGTAGCTTTTGAATGGGAATTGTTTATTTATCCAGTTGAATATACATAGAAGATTAAAGTATATGATGCACCTAACCCTCCAACGAAATCAAGAGTTCAAGACAGTTTTCTATAACATACAATTCATATGTACATGGGTGATCTGGAAAGTTTTTGAGTATATTTAAAAGAAGCAATAGTAAATAGCTCTGAAAGTTCATCCAGCTGCCTGGGATGCCAAATTCGATACCAAATGCTTGATAGAGAGATGTTTGAATTTTGATCTTATTTTGTGGGAATATCATTAAGCAATTTTTTCGGGTAAAATTATCATTATATTTTGTTTGTGTGTGTGACAATCATAGCCTTCTTCATAGATCATTTGATATTTGATACTGTGCTTTTGCTATATATGTGATTCTGTTTTGCCGATGCTACATAATAACTAGCTCATCAAGGCCATAGAAACTAAAATGTCCTAACGATTATTGTTAGGGAAGCTCTGTGAGATACATTACACGAGTCATGAACATGCTCTTGGTCAATGGACTTTTTCGATTCTTGTTCCTTTCTGGTTTCTTACCTTTGATTTTTTCTGCACATAAGAATTCCACAATGCCTCTTGTATGGTTTTCTTCAAGTTTTCTTCAAGTTTCGCAATCTGTTGGGTCCCTATTATATGGAAGTTGCAGTAATTATATCTCTGTGCCTGTTTATTCACAGGTGTACACATGACATTGGAATCCCTGCTGAAGGACAAAGACCTAATCACAGTTATCAAGGATCTTGTGCGAGGTAGCGGGAGATCTTACCCATCAAAAGAGCTTGAACTGTCCCAAGAAGCTGTAGTTCCGGATAAACAGCACGTTGCCAATGGGCAGGCAAAGGCTCCTCAAGCAACCTCGACAAATTTAAGTTCGAAGAAGGAAATTGCCGCAGTGGTGTGATGTTCTCGACTTTTGCAAAACCAAAGGCATCTGTGGGACTTCTCAGAGTTGGGGAGTCACTTAACTCATCCACTCTTGTCCCCAAACTTAAAATAAGTTGTCTAGTCAATATCTGAAAACGAACAGTTGGTGCGGTGCTTATCTGTTTTGCCATTAAAAGGTTGGACCTCGATTCTAGCTAGGTATCAATATGCAGCTTCCGGTTACCACTCGAAATAAAGAAGGGAAAGAGAATGTCATCTCTTAGAAAGAGAACAAGAAAGAATAAGTGTGCAATGAACATATTTTAAACGTTTCATAACTTGTATTAAAAAAACCGTTCACATTGAGTTAATTTTAGTACAAATTTGTAAATAAATTCAATGTGCTTTATTCTTTTATTATTAATTTCTAGTATTGCTTGTTTCTAGAATAGAGTGATTTGATTTTCTGAGAGGTTTAAAGAATTGATTTATTGCCCTTGATCGATTAGCAGTATAACATCTCGCCAATTGATGATAAGTAAGCTTGTCTTTTATTTGACAGTGTCTGCAAGGTTTTATAAATTTCAAGAATCCACACAAAATCACCAACCGCAAGACACTCTGAATCTGAATAATGAATTATATATGCATAGTTGTGGTACTGAAACAGAGCATTAACCTGAAAACAAAATAAGTGCAGCCACCCAAAATTCGCCGTATCAGTTGTAATTAAATCAAACCAAATTATAAATTAACTACATTTTGTTTGTCTGTTAAGCAGTCCAACTCTTCTTCTCACATATCTTAAGCAGCAGCAGTAGCACCAACTCCAAAATTTTTTTTAAAACAAAACTCAGCCATTAGAGTTGATATACGAAAAGAATTTTGAGGACGAAATTTTCGTGAGGGGAGGATGTGAGAGCCAAGACTGTTTGATGCACATGAAATGGGTTATGAATACGAAGAATAAACTCGGATTATTTGAAGACAATCCAAAGAGAAAAGTGGTTTTTAGGAATGGGATGTTCTGTGGGACAATTTTGTCTACCAAATAATGAATGTTGGCAATGATGATGATAAAGTCATATGTGCAATATCAAAACCCAGAGTTCCTAAAACTAAAATGTATAAGCAAACAAGAATCTAAAGGATCTTCAACAAATAAAAATACAAAAAAAAAGAAAAGAAAAGAGAAGAGCCCAACGGAAATCAGAAAAGTCTTAAAACTCACCACAACTACACAGAAGTAAGGTTTCACAACAAAGAATAACATAAACATCTTCTAAATCCAGAGGAAAAGATGTTGGAGGTAGAAGTTCTTCTCAATTCTCTCCAAAATAAACATTTGATTAAACTTCTACTTGCAGAAGTCAAAACCAGAATTACAATCCTAACCATGTTTAAGCAAATAAGGATCTAAGAGAAACTGGAACTCGGAGGAGCGCCGCCTCCAAACCCCCCAGATCCACGACCAAAGCCAGGTCTTCCACCAGCTCCCTTTGAATAATTTATCAAGTGGTTAATAAACGGAAGAATCCTTCTAAAGTACCAAACCAACTTCATCACATACAGATATTAGCTACTAGTACCAAACAAAGCAATCCAGTTCGATATTACAACCACAGAAACTCAAAATGTACAATTTAATACCAGGGCTTGCAACAACTCATTGTAAATGTCTAAGATGGCTGTGAGAAAACAACAGAACAGCAAGAATATAAGTAGTGTTAAGAACATTAGCACAAACAGACATTTTCACCCAGAGAAGGAATAAGCAAATTATCTATCAGAATCGTAATGGATGAATCTTGCTTCATCCCTTTGAATGAACCACATGACATTACAACCACAAACAAAGCAATCCAGTTCAATATTACAACCACAAAAACTCTAGATGTACAATTGAATACCAGGCAACAACTCATTGGAAATGTCTAAGACAGCTGTGAGAGAAAAACAGAACAGCAAGAATATAAAGTACTATTAAGAACATTAGCACAAACAGACATTTTCCCCAGAGAAGGAATAAGAAAAATTATCTATCAGAATTGAAATGGATGAATTTTGCTCCTTCCCCTTGAATGAACCACATGACATTCAGAACTTCATCATATTCCACAGGAAGGTAACATTAAATTTCTCTAAAATATCACCAAGAGCAAAACTTGATCTCTTCATGAAATAAAACCAAATTAATGCTTTTCCCCAAGCAAAGAAACGAGCAAAATGCTCTTCAACAGATATCAGATTTTTGACATTACTTCTCCACAGACAACAGCTAACCAACAACCTATGTCCAGCCAAAAGTAACAAACTTCAAAGACTAGGAACCTAACATCCTATGAGACCGAAAATAAGTTAGAACCATAAAGCGGAGGTAAGTAACTAACCCTAAAAGCAGGCTGATAGTCTGCTGGAGCTCCACCTTTGTCACCTCCAAATTCACCGGGAGGTCCTCCTCGTGGACCACCACGATATCCCTCCCTGTCGCCAAATCTAGGCCTATCGCCTTCAAATCTTGGGGGTCCACTGCAAAGTATTACGCGATATTCAAAAAGTCAGAAGGTTAATTTTCTTTTTCTACCAAGGAAAGCAAAGAAAGTTGCAAAATAGAAGAGGTTATTACCGAGGGCGATCACCAGGAGGTCCACCCATAGGGCGGCCAAGAGGCTTAGCAGACTTCTTCAAAGTTGCTGGAACAATCTCTGATGGAAGGTTAAGGTAAGTCCTCAGGAACTCAATGCCCTCGTTGGTAAGATACCAGTAGTAATGCATCCAAGCGAAGGTCTCTCGAACGTATTCCTTCGACTTAAAACTCTGCATCAGCTTGATAACTTGCAAGTTTGGCACATCGATCTCTGGGTGCTTGGCCAAGTTATAGTCTTTCTTCGCATAGCATACCCCCTCTTCATTACAATGAAGACACACAGAAAACCAGTAAGTTCATAAGATTGGCAGAACCAATTAAAAATCGGGACAAACTACTGAACAGAAGCTAATATTTTGAAACAATCCCAAACAAACACATTCATAATCAGAAGGACAGGTAATACACACTACATCCCAATTAACACAAACAACATCAGTATACAAACATAATAATCAGCAGAACATGTATAAACGCCGGACAAGCTATTTCACACAAGCAAAGGAGAAAAAATGTAGACGTTATTTTGAAACAAACCCAAAAATTTCGAAACTAAATAAGATACTCACCCTGGAAGAGGTACTTGGAGATCTCTCTGCGGTTCTTCTCTGAAATAATCTGACCCACAAAAAATAAAACCCCCCAAAAAAAAAATGTTAGAAGCATTTCTATCTATAAAATTAATAAGAAAAAGTTGAAGTCCAGGAAATTAATAGGATATTGTTTATGCAAATTGATCGAGAAAAATGGAAGACGAAGTTACCATGGCTACGGCCGGAGATGGATGAGAGCAAATGTGAAGGTACTGCTGCTGCGGCGGTGTGGGGGAGAAGATGAAAATAAACCCTAGTGTTGTATTTTTATCCCCAATTGTCTTTGTATAATTTTTATGCTTTTCTGTTTAGTTTAGGTTTTTCTTTTTATGTTATTATTTTTTCATCTTTTTTTCCCTTCCTTCGTTCTAGAAAGGCTATGTTTGGATTATTATTATTATTTCACCCCGCTAATCTTACTATATATTAAAGGATATTTTTCAAAAGACATATGTTAGTCAATTAGACTATCAATAAATTTTAAGTACACATGACATTTTTTCATTTGTTGATAATTTTTTATAGTACACATATCATCTTGTAATTCGTGGATTTCTTAATTAGTATTTTATGTATTCCCTCCATTCCCAAATAAGTGTCGTTTTAGTAAAATGGAGAAATTCCAAAATAAGTGTCGTTCTCACATTTCAATGTACTTTTTGTCAAAAGTTTCCAAAATTACCCTAAAAAGAGTTGATGCTATTAGTGGACAATTTTATAATGGGGTTGGTTGAGGATATTCAAGTAATTTTATTACCCTATTTAAGAGTTTCTTAAACTACGTGCAAAGTGTAGGATGACACTTATTTTGGAATGGAGGGAGTAAATAACATGGTTATTGTAAACACGATAAAATAGTTATTTTATAATTTGCGGAATTTGATTGAAATTAAGGACAACTCACGGTGCAGCCTCTGCTCCTCGAATCGCAAAGGCTGCTATCACCGTGTAGAAAATTTCAAAATGAATTCCTTCGGCATTGAAATCGTAGATTAAAGATGGGGATTATGTTCCCGTATTTTGCGTTAATAATGAAATCATAGGATCAGACATGCATTAATTGAAAATATTAATTTGAAAGTATATATATACTGTATACTTTTTCCTATGCCCACTCCCCGAATCTCCCCTTTTTCTATTTGGTTAATTAAGTTTAATTTTTGATCTGTTCTATCCAAATTCAAAAGAGGAGCGGTGACTTCCGAGAAAATCACATCGACAACCCGATTTTTCGGAAGCTCAAGGCTAAGTCAGATAATAAAGTGCACCTTTTTCAAATTCTTAAAATGAACCACTTTTATTTTTCGCGTTGTTCTCTGGTGGTATTTTTGTTTGGTTCATTGTTGAATTTCATTTGGAGTTTTGAGATCTAATTTAGATCGGTGCAGATTTTTTGTTTTCATTTGGATGGTCCTATGATTTTTTTTTTTTTTACACTAACTTTTTTTTGGTCTCCGACAGACGTGTTTCGCTTGCAACTTCGATCTGGGCGTCTGTCACATAAGGGATCTTCCTTTGTATTGATTGTTCGGCCTTCACCTCAGTCTCAGTCTTTCAATGTATATTCTATTTAAACTTCCTTTTTTTTTTTTGGTTTCCCATTGTTACGCATGGATTATGAAATTGCTCTTTCTTCTTTATTTTTAATAAATTTCTTGGGTACCTCATCATTGGTACGTTGATATCATTTTTGGGTACATTATCAGGATCCAAAATTATAAATACGGTAATTTTTTTGTTGTATTTAGTGTGAATGGTTTTTTTCTTTTTTTTTTTTGGTTATTCAAAACCAAAAATACATATGCGCCCTTTGTTTAGACGTGCATTCTGGAAAAATTTTTATTGTGAGTTCAATGTAATGGAAGCATGGATACAGCAGAAAGTTCTTGGTTTGGGATAAACTTCTTTTTTTGGCCATTGTGTTTTGGATTGATGGGAAATCTATAAAACTTTGATTTTGATAGCAACAACCTCTGATTCTTCTATGTAGTAGGATTGCTAGCCATCTCCTGAAATGATTTAATCAATTGTTGTAAGAAATGGTAAGTCATATATGCAGTTGCTCATATTAATTCCTCATTTCTCTATTTTTTTTTATATTTGTTTTTAGATGTGTAACATTGATACAATTTGTTACGTAATATGACATTCTATTTAAACTTCATTCGGGTTCTGTTTCTCAAGGATGGTGCATGTTTTCATGTGTAGACGAACATGGACAAATAGATTTGTTACATGGATGGCGATATTGTCAGGTTAATTTTTATGTTTCTTTCCAAAAATTTCCTTTTTGGAGTCAAACTTCTATTTTCTCTCCCTTCGATATCGATCGCTATTCTGCAGACTTAATCAGTTTATCTCCCTATTTCTCTGCGTTTCTTTTTCACCCCATCACTTCTTCTTGAACTTTTTTCCTTTTATACCACATCCGGTAGGGATCAGACCTGTAGAGATCAAACATGGCCATCGACAATGTTTTCTTCTGTATTTTTTGGAGAATAATTCCAGGTAACTTTCATTTGACCAAAATCGAGGTGAAAGATGAGTTCGAAAGGTAAATTTTTTGCTATATTGATCGATTCTCATAGAAAAGTGAGTTGAAGTGAGATATTAAGGTGGATTATTGATGCAGGGTGAGATATTTAGACTTTGATTTTTCCTGCTTTAACTAAATTAAGTTGAGATTGAATTATAGAATTAAACAATGAAAGACGGTGAAAACTTGCAGAGGTAGATGGGTAGTGCTCACCTTGGCCTGAGATAGTAGCTTTCGAATGCTCAAAGTTGGGTTCTTGGAATCCAATCGCATATAAGATAACAGCTAAGAGGGCTAAGATATGGTACAATAAGCTTAGACTCGATTGATCTTTGGATATGCTTAATTTTATTGCTTAAACAAGTTTCATGTTCCTTGGTAGTTATAACTTACATTTATATTTGATGGTTTAGGCTAAGCGTTGCATAAAGCTAGATTTTTTTAACAACTCTTATAATTTTTGTTTGTATTTTCATGAGGATTTATAGTGCGAGATGTGAAGTATTATGTTTTTTTCCCTTTATTTTTAATAATTTGTGAGGTTATCCGATTCATATTGTTATTGATAGTTGATCCAATGGAGTGATGATTGGAGCTGCAGAATCTTTGAATATAGAGAAGCCGCTGAAATCAATTTAGCTACTGAATTAGAGGTATTGAAACTCTCTTTGATTGGCATTGTGCTTGTGTGGGTTTTTTTTTCTTTTTTTTGTTTTTGGTTATCATTGTCACTCCATATCAGAAAATTTTTCTGTTGTAATAAATTTAGATAGTTTGCCAATGATTTTTCTTCAAAGTGTGTTCTGAGTTGACAGTGGAGACCTTCATTTCAATTAAATGCAGGTTCTTGGCATGGATAGGTTGAAATCAGAGCTTCAGCCAAGAGGATTGATATGTGGAGGCACTTTGCTAAAACGTGCAGCTCCCCTTTTCTTCAAACGTGCAGCTTTGCTTTTCTTCTCAAACACCTATATAGATGCATCTCTCTCCTAATAAGTAGTACCATAGTTCAAATAGTACTAGCACAGATTGTGCTAATATTTCTCATTTTCAAGTGTATACGGAGGGACGCCTTAGCTAGATAAGTTTGTCATGTGCACCAATATCTGTTATATATATATAAAGACACCATTATTTCTGTCCATGCACTGAAACGGTTTAGACAGTAGAATAAGAGGCTTAAAAATTTCAATTGCTTCAAAATACCATAAATTGTTGCTGCACTATAACAAGAATCATCCAAAAGGTAAAAGAACAACCCATTGGTTTCTCTAATAGAAGAACAAGAACTCAAAAATTTCTACAGTTGTAGAATACAATAAGCTACTGGAGAAAAAAAACAAGAACCATCCAAGAATAACATCCAACAATGATTGTGGAGGACAAAAGTTCAACAACAATCTTTATTTTCCTCTTGGTTTCTTTATTTAAAAGTAGTTGTAGGCTGCAAGTTCATTACCGCAATAAAATATAAAGATTCAAAACTTTTTAAGTGGCACCATATTTCTTTTCCTTGTAAAAATACAAGAATGATCAGTTTAGTCAGATATGATCACAACAAGATAATGATGAAACTAAACATAAGTTAGCATAGCAACAAAAAATACCTGAAAAGATTTCAACCCCATTGAAACTCATCGCATGGGGTAGGTGGAAAGTTCAAGTCAACATAATTCATTGGATCTCTATCATCCATTGGAGTTGAGAGTTGATTCCTGCTCAATTTAATGGTGGCAAATTGGGTGGTCTGACTACGTTCTCCACGTGTATGAGTTTGTCTCCTTAATCCTGCTTCAACAATTTCAAATCGAGATAGATCTCGAGTAGTTGAACTCAATTCTTTTTTCTTGGTTCCTTTAAATGGTCTTCCTCTACCTTGTTGTACATCTGGCTCAAAGTTTAATGAAGACTCTTCTTCGTTGACTAGTTTAGACAATATTTCTTCAATATTTTTCTTTCCATTAAAAGGTAGATGCATGTATTTTCCTTCCAACTTACTAGCCAATGCACGAAAGATAGAATCACCATTATTAGTCTGACCATCAATAAAAAGAGACTCTCTTGTGTCAATCCACCACTGCGGATGTATGGCTGTTAACGGTATTGCTTTTCCTATCCAAGAACTCATCATCTGTGCACAAGGTAAACCCATTGTGGTCATGAAACTATCAGTACATGTCATACTCATCTTGTCATTTTTCAACATTTGAAATTGTTGCTCTAACTTATCCAAGGCAAGTAATGACAAACGGGACACAACTTGTCCAAAAAATGGGATATTGCACTTGTGAGGAACTTGAATCGTTTCATTTGATAACCTTACTTTAAATTCCTTAAGATCATTTTCAAGAAGCAAAGACACTTTCTGCTTGACCCCCAGCAAATCCCCAGTTGAGACAAATAAGTACCTTTTCAGTTTTGAATGTGCACCTTCTGCTCTCGATGAAGTACGTGTTCCCAAATGCAATTTTCCATCCGTCCATGCATTGACAAACTGTTCTTTGAATGGAATCCATGTATCCCAAAGATAATTCAGAAATATCTTGTTTTTCAATGTACATCACTTACATCTCATACCATGCTTGATTGAAAGCCTCCTCCGTAGAAGAATACACAACCCTATTCCATGCTGCCAAA